AACCTGTTGCAGCATCCTATAGTGATGTGTCCAGAATTCGTAGCAAAAAACACATTTAAAAAAATGGATTTGCTTAATGGCCATGCTATTCACTTAACTATTGTAAAAACCAGGTGAAAAATTAAGTCCAGTTACTCAGATTCGCACAACTTATAATCAACATTCTGATCTCAGTTATGATTGTAAGCTGACTATCATTCTTACCTGAATGAATATACACCTGCATTAAAATGCGTATGTGTTTAACCTCCCTCCCAACAATCACATTTAGATCTGGACCCATTCAGGTGACAGTAAAACCATTGTAATATTATGCCCCAACTCTCAACCCTTGGTTTAATAGAATACTATAGTGAACAGTACTAAAGGCTGCTGAGAGATCTAAGAAAGCAAGAATTGTTGTACCATATTTATCTAAGTGTTGCCATACTCATCGTCTGTGAGAGTGATTAATACAGGTTTTGTCCCATGTGTAGGGTTGAGTCCAAATAGCCAAGAAACTAGATAATATATGTTCTCATGAGGTTTCTTGCATTCCTTTGAACTTCTATAACTGTAGATCGTCATTTTCTCCATAACCTTTCACCGTAATGAAAGATTTAATTTAGACAGTAGATGGCTACTCTAGTTGTCCAAACCTGTTTCTAAGAAGTAGAGGAACTAGTGCTTAGGATATCTTTCTCTCAAAAAGGCGTTGATTACAGTCTTGATTTAGAACCTAATCTCCTCTTTGGTTGCTTTTGTTAACCAGGCAGAGTACGGTGTCCATCTACAATGGTAGAGCCGCAGGATTTTGACCATTTCTTGGGGTACTGTACACAGCTTTAGAAGTCTCCCAAATAATACCACACAAGGAATTACCTCTGTCACCTTAATAAGGTTGTCTGATTTTCAGTTCATAGTAAATGTAAGTAATGTTATTTGTAAAGTGCTTAGCCAGATAATCATAGTTTACACTGCCTAGATTTTCAGCCCACCCTTCTCCAAAAAGACACTTTCAAGAATGCAGCTGGTGATATTCTGCAGATGCAGAAAGGGCAGAGGAATAATTATGCCTTGACATCTTTATTGTCCCCATAGTAGGTCATCTGTGGGTTCTTATTTGTACTAAATCACATTTGCTGCTGCTTCTTTTTGTCCACTGTCAGTCACTCTAGCCTTCATTCTTCAGGAGTTGCATAGAATCTAAGGGGGGGGAGGTCAGGGAGAGATTTGTATAAACAAATAATAAAGCAAAACAAAAGACATAATTGCCTTTCAGATCCTGATGGTTTCACCATGAAGAGTTTTACCACCCATTGTATTATATATGCAATATACATTTTAAGTACCAATTGATAGGATATGAAAAAGCAGCTGTTTCCTTGTTTTTTATTTGATAGATCCTGCTAAAGTTAGCTTATATGTACTGCATATACCCATGTTGCAAGGCTTTTATCTTTCTCATCTACTACCCCCTCTTATTGGTATCATATTATTATTATTACTTTGTTGTTTTGCCTATACATTGAGAGCTGCTGCACCAGAGACAAATTCCATATGTGTCTAATATTATTCTAATCTAAAAAAATATTTAAAAGAAATAGCTTTATTAGAGAAATAAAGCAATCAATCAAAGCAACCAGTAACCCTTGGCTTAGTAAAATATGCTAAGCGGACACACATGTTCTTTACCTGTCTCTTGGAAGATAGATTTTTATCTGTTTCTTTCTTTCATATTATCTCTCATATCTTAATATTATTGTCCTTTGCATCTCTGATTTTTTTCATCAATGAAATTCACATATTGAGAGGCAATGGTCTCTTATGTCACTTCACTTGCTGACTAGCAATGAATCTTGCTAGTAGCTTTACCATTTTAGTAAAATGTTTCATCGAGAATTGGGCGGAAATAGCAAAGGGAGAAATAAGAAACAGTTAAAAGGATTCCTGCAACTGACAAATTGTTATAGATACCAGAATATAATATTCAACATCCTAGGAAACTGTTTATATTGAATCATATTGTTGATCCCTCTAGTTCACTGTTGTCTATATTTATATATATTAGCCCCAGGTTGGCGAATCTATGGCACGCATGCCACAGGTGTGGCACGCAGAGCCCTCTCTATGGGCATGCGCACCATCATCCCAGTCCTAGGACTTCAGCTGGGTTTTATATAACCTTTTCACTTTAGGCCTCCACTGCCGTGTGCAAAAAAAAAAAAGGTTCAATCAATCAATCAATTTCAAAAAGATCTTGCAAAGTTGGAATTGATTGATTGAACTTTTTCGTCCCGCCCAGTCTGCCATAATCACTGAAGCCATGCCCACCCAAAGGGTCATGCCCACCCAATGGCCACACCCACCCAATGGGCCATATCCATCCGGCAGCCGACGATACATAAGTGGGTTTTGGGTTGCAGTTTGGGCATTCGGTCTCTAAAAGGTTCGCCATCACTGTATTAGCCATTTCTCTCTCTCTCTTCCATGAAAGACTGCCTATCCAATTGCTTTTTGCTTCTTGATAATGTTTCATGTTCTAGCACATAGGTTTGCTTGCTGTTGCTGTTGATTATTATTGCCCAAATAAAGGAAGTGTTTTCCTTTATTTGCAAAATAATTTACTAGTTTCTGTTGCATCTTACAAAAGATAAATTGAGAGTTTCACAGCTAGTTGCTGTCTGAGATGAATAGTCTTTAACTCTCAGAAGGATGTGCTGTATGCGATGAGGCAGAGTATTCTGCTTTTGATGCTACCATTTTTTTATCACAGAGAACTTTAGAAAGTATTTAATTTTAAATCTTGATGTTATATTTTTCTTCAATATTAATGCCATTTACAATAATACCGTATATGCCGGCGTATTAGGCGACCTGGCGTATAAGACGACCCCCATCTTTTATCGCCGAGTCGCTTTCCTAGAACGTCGTCTTATACGCCGGAAACTACCAGTATTTCCGGCGTATAAGACAACTCGGCCTATAAGACGACCCCCGTCTTTGGCACCGAGTTTAGCGCTTCCGTAAGTCGTCTTATATGCAGGCATATACGGTATATACATTCTGTTAATAGTGTATGCCAGTGATGGCGAACCTTTTAGAGACCGAGTGCCCAAACTGCAACCAAAAACCCATTTATTTATCGCTGGGTGCCAGGTGGGCGTGGCCCACTGGGTGGGTGTGGCTATAATGGTCATGGCAGACTGGGTGGGTCTGGCCAATGTGGGCATGGTCACCTTGATGTTGGTTGTGGGGAGGGACACCTGTGGAGGCAGGGCAGGGTTGGGGGAGATCCAGGGGGTCTCTGGCAGGTGGGGCAGTGGGAAGGAGGCTTGTCCTGTGGGGTGAGGCAAGGCAAGGCGAGACAGGGCAGGGGTGCTATTGCTGGAGGGCAAGGCGAGGCAGGGGCCGCACTGCCCCCGCACAGAGGCCAGTGAACGCATGGGGGCCAACAGTGTCTGTCAACAGCCACAGCCTGCCAGCCCCTCAATCGGCACTCTCTGGGGCTCCACAACCCACCACCAACCTATCAGAGAAGCTGCCTCTGAGCTGGACAGATGACCGACAGTTGAGGAAGCGATGCAGTGGGTCGTGCCCAGAAAAAGGAGAGCATGCAAGGCCAGGAGGGATGGGATGGGGGGGGGAGGAAACCAGTCATTCTGGGATGCATTCGGCCATGTGGAATCTTGTCAAGTTAGCAGGCGGCTGATTGAAGAGGGACGGTTGCCATCTCTGAGGCATGGCACGCGTGCCCACAGAGAGGGCTCTGAGTGCCACCTCTGACATGCGTGCCAAAGGTTCGCCACCACTGGTGTATGCAGTCTGGTATAGATTTTCAGTCTATAGTTATTCAAATGGCTGAGCATTTTAATGATTTAAGAGTTTCAAGATCATAGTATTCATGGGGCGATTATTGGATCGTTTAGATAATTTGATAATTAAATAAAGACAAAATGATTTTTTCTTCTACCATCTTACATTGTAGAATGTATAGTTTTAGAAATATTTTTCTGCTCATCATGTTTTATATAATTTTGTTTTCAGTTCATTTTTCATTTCATACATAATTTGAGTTTGATTACTAATTTAATTATCCAGAAATAGTTTAGGATGACTTTTGAGATTTTTCTCATTTTGTCTTTTAAAAAATAAAAATTAACTACAAGGTGGTTTTTTCTAATCCTCTGAGAAATTTTCAGGTGCACTCTTAAGTGACTTTAATGAGCGGGATATTTTTTTAAAAAACAATTATTTTAATAAATTGATGTCCCCCACCCCTTTATATTGGCTATTTTGCTATTCTCTGCCTGTTTGGGGCTTTTAAATAATTTACAGTGTGGTCAGTGTTGAAAAGAGAAAGGATAATTCCCAGATTGACGTTATATTTCCTTTAAAAAATTGCTCCTCAGGCTGCATAAGAAAAAAAAGTACGCCATAAGAAAATAAACTATATAATAAACTTCTAATGAAATCTGGGAATCATAGCTTTATATAATTAAAGTTTAGGCTTCCCATAGTATGATCATGCAATGTCAGATGTTGCTGCTAGCACTTCTTCTGTCGTATCCCTTTATTTGTTCTATTATTTGCCATTTATTGGAGAGGTATTGGGGAGCCTTTCTTCTTATGAAAGATTGGAGACTCCTTGCATGTCTAAAAAGCTTATAAAACCAAGGTTTTAAATGGCATGAGGAATCCCTTTCAGTAGGAAAGATAACTCTGGGACAAAGATACTCTTAGCAGGTAGAAGATAGCAAGATGTGTACAGTGAGCGCATTTGGTTAATGCACTCCTTCCCATTCTTCTTACTGCTTGAGGAACATATTGCTTAAAGAAAGATAAATTCATAACCAGATATACATTTGATGTATAGGATTGAATGTAATTTAAGTATTTAATTATGCTGCTGAAAAGTCTATGAAAAGTTTAATGGTTCTTAATATAATAACTACACTTTGTATTAATAAAATTATTTAGACACCTCATCCATGTTTTTCTTCTCCCTTTCTTGCCATCAGCTTTTACAATGGGTTGCAGACTAAATAAATTGGAAAAACATGATGACAAACGGCCTGGTAACATATATTCCACTTTGAAGAGGCCCCAGGTTGAAACGAAAACTGATATTTTCTATGAATACCACTTTCTAGATTTTACAACTTTAAGTAATGGTAAGTCGTTCCTCTCTTTTCAACATATTATACATATGTAAGTCAAAATGATAAAAGCTCAGCTTTAAAAGTTTTAACAGCATTGTATCAGTTCTATATATGGGGACAAGAAAAGTGTTTGTGGCTGGAAGCTGTGCTCTTTAATTATATTATTATTTTTGACAGGTAAACATTATAGTAAACAGAGCAATGATATAATAATTGATGTGCAGAAGTGGAATTATGTGGGTTCTATGAGTTTGGAATTTTGGATCCAAATAACAAAGACATTATTATGCAGAAATGCTAGGTATTGCTCATAGTTGATTCTTGAATTTGGCTAACTTATTTACAAAATTCCTTCCAACATTCATATTCTGTGATTTGATGAAAGAGGAAGAGAGATCTGATTTTCATTGTTAAGGTGACCAACTTTTTTACAATGAAAAGGAGGACACAAATAAATTGAAGAAAAAAATATCGTAAATAAAGTAAACATTTTATTCATTGCAACAATAATACAGAATACACTATAATATGATAAATGCATAATAAAAACATTTGTAACAATAATATTTTATATTGTAATTATGCTTACATGCCTATTAATTATTATTTAAATGAGTACTTTTCCATTGAATGAATATTTTTTGTCAATGTATCATCTTCTAACAATATATTGGAAATATCTGAACAAGAAATATCCTTCATATTGAATTTTACGGCAAGTGCTGCAGCTAGAGTATCAACATTCAGTCTCGATTTTTCACTTTTCCAAAAATCATTAGCAATTGAAAAAACCCTTTCAACTGCTGCATTAGTTCCAGGGCAGCACAACATAAATTGAACAAGAATAAATAAATTTGCAATGGAATATGTTCATTTTTGAAATGGCTGAATATTTCCACCCATCTTTTATCAATTTCAACGTGTTTATTTTCCCACTATATTAATTTTTCAGAATTTAAAAATACATTCAGTCTTCTAATTTCTTCAAAGAGACAATTGTCATCTATTTTATTGTCTGTCATTTCTTTAGATAAAAACTCAACACAAGATTCAATATCTGTCCAATATACTTGCGATGAAGTAAAAAAACACCATTAAAAACTGTTATTTCCTGTGATGTTTGTTTCAGACCATTCTTCGATATATTGAAAACATGTTTGGTAAAAATTCTGCACTTCTTTGATAAACTTTTCTGTTATGCCCGGATTTGATTCCTCTAAGTCTGACGGTTTTCTTTTTATAACTAAAGGAAGAAATTTTTCTTCAAATCGAGTTTTATATTGAAAGATAAAGTCATTAAAAATAAGACTAACTTCTGTAGCTGAAATGTGTTCACCTTCAATCTTTTGAATTGTTTTGTGAAAAATAGATGCTTGATTATGTACAAAATACATTAATATCTCAGATATTTCATTATTGAAAAATGATTCCAGGATTTTAGGACATTTGTCTAAACTTAAAAAATATGAACGGAGAGGCTCAAATAATTGTAGAACATGCTCTACAGCAGGTGTTAGAGCAAGCTATCTAACTTTTGAATATCCTAAAAGTTTTTTGTATTGAACATTTGCTTCTTCACAAAATTGTTTTAAAGTAGCCACACGAACGGTAAAACGACTAAAATACAAATAAATTGTAGTTATTATTACTTCTACATCAATTGGCATGGCATATAACGCCGTGTTGAATGCATTTGACAAATTATGTGCATTACAAACTATTCCTAGTAATTTCTTTTGGAGTAAATCTTGTAATTTTACATACACATTATTCACCCCTTTGCGTCTTCACCTACCAAAAGTTGTGTTTGTATTATCAACTGTTATAGTGCAACAACTTTGGATTTCAAATTGTTTTCATTTATTACTCTATATAGATGGTTTGACAAAATTTCAGCAGTTTAGCCCTCAATGGATTCTAAATTTAAAATTTTTACTTGAATGCCCTTGGTAACATTAAAATATCTTACTAGTATTGGATACAATTTAGTTTCCTTATGATTGGATGCATCAGATAAAACCGTTACAAATGCTGCAGTTTCCAAGTCTTCTGTAAGTATTTTGTCACAGTAATTTTAAAATACTGATTTAATAATAGCCTCACATTTTGTCCTGGTGCATGAAAATTTAGCATCGTGAAACTTTTTCAATAATTTAGTTGTAAATCCATACCACGAAAACTTTGATTGTGAATTATGGTATGGAATGCAAATGTTCCCTCCATTGCAGCTAACTGTTTTTCATCTTCAGAATAGTTTGAAGTTTTAAAAAAAACTTGTTACTTTACAACTGGAAGCAGATGCATCTGATGATTTCTTATGTTTCTTGGTGATCAAGTGTTTCGTAATAGCTGCTCTGCCCCCAACTGCAATGCAAAATTCTCCGCTGCAAATATTGTAGAAAACAATGTTATCCTTCTTTGATGTGATGAATGGAAATTCCTTATTCAATTTATCGTTGAAATGGCATTTCCTCTTTTTTGATTTTTCCATCCCTAAATGAAATTTAAAATTTAAAATAAAATATAGAGCTACACGAACGATGCAAGCACATTCATTATAAATAAATAAAATTAATTATTAAAACTGAAACAATAACATAAGCAAATAAACTTGTAAATAAAATTATACCGACCAGGTGTTTTGGCGCGCTCAGCAGCAATTCCTATTGGCTTTCGAAAGCCAATAGGGGGAGTAGCATAGCTCATGCAAAAGTTGAAAAAAAACCATCAAAAAAAGGTGCCGGAATGCCATTCTGAGCATTCTATGAGAAAAAAAAGCCCTGCAGATTAGTCTTCAAATATGAAAAAGGAGGACATGTAAGAGGACACTTTTCGAGGGAGTACAGAACTTACAAAAGGAGGACTGTCCTCCCTAAAGGAGGACGGTTGGTCACCTTATCATTGTGCCCATGAAAGAGAGAAATGGGGTACAAAGTAGCTATTATTAAAAAGATGGCATGATACATTTGTCAAGTAAACTTAGATAACCTTTAGATAAACAATTGTACAATTGTTTTTTAGCTCTTTTCATATATACATTCAACAGTTCTGTGATTTAGCCTAAAGAAAAGGGTTATATTTCTGTGAGGCAATGCAAAGTATTTGAAGCAAAACCAGCATTTGCAGTCAATAATTTATATTTTGTGTACATGTATTTTTTGTACCTACAAAACTACTTTGGTTATTTATAGCTTGTAACTCTCATATTGAATACATAAGATAATTTTCCATAGTTTGTACAAACTGACTTGTTATGTTGCAGTTTTTTAGAACTTGAATGATTGAAATGTGAATTATGAAAACATATTATATATATATTCATGTATCATGATGGTGATGATGATAATAATAATAATAGCACCCAAGGCACCTATTACTATTGGTACTACCCTTGCTTGCTTTTGCCACAGTTGTTCTATTTCTATTTGTAGGTCTTTTTATTTTGTTATCTTCTCCAGTTCTTTCTTTTGTTTTCTGCTGTCTCCAGGCACTGCCAAGTCCACTATCCAGACATTTGTCTTTCTTATCGACAATTGTTAAGCCTAGGGTGTTATGTGGCAGGTGTTTGTCTATCTGAATTGTAAAGTCCCAGAGCAGTTTAAGAAAGTCATAGAAAATGAAAATGTTAAATTGTTCTGGGACTTTAGAATTCAAACAGACAAGCATCTGCCACATAACACTCTGGACTTAACAATTATCGATAAGAAAGACAAAAAAGTCTGGGTAGTGGACTTGGCAATGCCTGTAGACCGCAGAATAGAAGATAAAGAACTGGAGAAGATAAAAAAAAAATACAAAGACCTTCAAACAGAAATAAAATGACTGTGGCAAAGGCAAGCAAGGGTAGTACCAATAGTAACGGGCACTTTGGGTGCAATCCCCAAACAACTGGAGCACCACTTGGACACCATTGGCATTGACAACTTCACCATTAGTCAGTTGCAAAAGGCGGCCTTGCAGCTTCTATCCTATGACAATATTTGTAATACCATCAATTCAAACATCCACATCTGCCTATTCCAGATCCTTGGTAAGACTCGATAAGTAGACAAAATGCCAAATCCAGTCTGAACATCTGGCTGACTGTGCAATGATCCATAATAATAATAATAATATAATTGGAAGGGACCTTGGAGCTCCTCTAGTCCAACCCTCTGCTCAGGCAGAACATTCTTACATACATTTTGAGTTTTCCTTAGAAATTTATAATTGTTATTTTTATTGAATATAATAATCTCAAACTAAATTGTGTTTTTAAAATTTACATTATAATTCAAAGATATGATACCCTTTCTTGACCCATTCAGCATTGTTTCTTTTTAAAAACATTTGCTGTCTTAAAATAGCTTATATGAAATGAGAATCTCTGACTGAGAGCATAGTCATATAAAAATGCTCAGATTTGTGACTTAGCTGGCATTATTTTTGGAAAATTAAATTTTCTTCATTCAGTTGTAGCATTAAAGGTTTATTACTATTTTTACTTTGTAGGAAAAGGAAATGAGTCTATAAAAATAGAATCTGTTTCCTGTTTAAATTTCAAAGTATGCAAAATGAGGCTAGTAACCATTGTGCAAAATAATAATGTGAATTTTGTGTCATGTCAAGAAATTATACCATGTAGCTTGTAACAATACCTATTTTCTAGACATTTTAAATTTGACCCATTTCCTGCTTAAATCTTTTAAATTTTTCAGATTTGCTTTTGTCTTTTAATATTGGCAAACTTCAAATATATGAGCTAAAATAAAATAAATGCAAAGGAAGGTAATGTAATCTGGGTTTTGTGTAATATATAAAAGTGAATTGGGTTCAAAATGGGATAAAATGTAGATCATATTGAAGTAGTTAAGAGTTTTTTAGAGGGGAAAAAATTAAACTCATATAATCTTTTAACATTCAGTTATTTTTTTTCAATCAGTTCAAGTGAAATTTGAGCCTGGGTGGCCTGGATGGGAGATAACAGACTTCAACTGAATCCTAATAAGACTGAATGGCTTTGGGTGCACAGA